ACCTCGCAGGACCTCAGGACCTCACAGCTGCTCCCCCATTTCCTGCCAAAGCCCAGAGCAGGACGGGGGGACATGTGCAGAGCAGGACGGGGGGACATGTTCAGAGCAGGACGGGGGGACATGTGCAGAGCAGGATGGGGGGACATGTGCAGAGCAGGCCATCCTTGCAGCCCTGCTGGGGACTGTGTCTGCCTGCTGGCTTGGCCCTTTGCAGCGAGGCTTTGGGCTCGTGCCTAGGAAGGCATTTCCAAAGGGCAGGACAGCAGGGCTTCCCCAGCAGCCAGGATTCCGAAATTTGCTGCCCAGGCTGGTTGTATCCTGGGTGTCTGTGTGCCATGGATGACTGTGGGATGCAAATCAGAGCAGCACAGAGTGGTTTGGGTTGGAAGGGCCCTAAAGACAACAGGCAGGGACACCTTCCACTGATCCAGATTGCTCCAAGCCCCAGTGCAGGAGAGCAGCCCCTCTTTGGAAGGGTGTCCCTGATCCAGGCTGCATTCCCACCACAGCTCAGAGCCTCTGACCTCTCCTGCCCAACCTCTTGGCACAAATCAAATCCCACCCTCGCAGCAGGCTGCCAGCCGGGCTCGCATGAGAGCTGTGGGCTGCTGGTGACGTGGTGGCATTCAGAGATGGCACTGGGAGAAGGTCAGTGCGTGCAGAGCAGGCACAGGCTGTCAGCACTCGGCTCGGCTGAGCCTCTGCAAGGAGGACAACCATGGATGGAGAATGGGGCTGTGCTCAGGAGCTGTCTGGAGATGCCCGGCATGGGGGGGCTGCAGTGCTGGGAGGAGAACCAGGAGAACCAGGAGATCATCCTGGAGGGCTCTGTCCTGTCCTGGCCCCTCGGTTTGGGAAGGACCTTGAGATTCTTGAGCACATCCAGAGGGGACAACGAGGCTGTAGAGGGGCCAGGAGCACCAACCCTGTGAGGAACGGCTGAGGGAGCTGGGGGTGCTCAGCCTGGAGAAAAGGAGACTCAGGGTGACCTCAGCGCTCTCTGCAGCTCCTGAAAGGTGCCTGTGCCCAGCTGGGCTGGGCTCTTTCTCCAGGAGCTGACAGAACCAGAGGACACAGCCTCAGCTGCCCCAGGGAAATCCAGGCTGGATGTCAGGAGAAAGTTTTTCATGGCAAGAGTGACAAAGTTCTGGAATGGCTGCCCGGGGAGGTGGTGCAGTCACCATCCCTGGGTGTGTTTGAAACAAGCCTGGATGTGGCACTGGGTGCCAGGGTTGAGTTGAGGGGCTGGGGCTGGGTTAGACTCGATTATTTTGCAGGTCTCTTCCAACCCAGTGAGTCTGTGATTCTGTGAAGGGGAAGTTTCAATTCAAACAGATCCAATAGCAGAAGGAAAGGGAGATTTCCAGAATTTTTCCAGGCCAGTGGCTGGGGACCAGCCTAGGGAGCCTCACAGAAGTGAGGGGGCTCAGGGCACTGGGTGCTCGGCTTGAGCGCCCACACGAGCTGGACACTGCCCCCTACCACTGCAGCAGTGACCCTGAGGTAGGACACGTCTGAAAATATTCTGGTAGAAGTCAATAAATACATTTATTTATAGAGTGGCCAGGACAACGTCCAAAGATCTGTGTCCAGGTGAGACCATGACTGCTCACTGTCCACAGCTCCTGCCAGGAGGGGACAGCCGGGGGGGTCGGGCTCTGCTCCAGGGAACAGGGACAGGAGGAGAGAGAACGGCCTCAGGCTGGGCCAGGTTGGATTTTAGGGGAAATTTCTTCATGGGAAGGATTGTAAGTCACAAATTGTCCAGGGCAGTGTTGCAGTCACTGGAGGGACTTAAAAGATGTGTGGATGTGGCATTTGGGGTTATGGGTTTGTACTGAATTTGGAAGTGCTGGGGAATGGTTGGACTCCCTGGTCTTAGAGGACTTTTCTTAATTCACAGAATTCACAGAATCACCAGGCTGGAAGAGACCTTCAAGACCACCGAGTCCAACCCAGCCCCAGCCCCTCAACTCAACCCTGGCACCCAGTGCCACATCCAGGCTTGTTTCAAACACACCCAGGGATGGTGACTGCACCACCTCCCCGGGCAGCCATTCCAGAACTTTGTCACTCTTGCCATGAAAAACTTTCTCCTGACACCCAGCCTGGATTTCCCTGGGGCAGCTGAGGCTGTGTCCTCTGGTTCTGTCAGCTCCTGGAGAAAGAGCCCAGCCCAGCTGGGCACAGGCACCTTTCAGGAGCTGCAGAGAGCGCTGAGGTCACCCTGAGTCTCCTTTTCTCCAGGCTGAGCACCCCCAGCTCCCTCAGCCGTTCCTCACAGGGTTTGTGTTCCCGGCCCCTCTCCAGCCTTGTTGTCCCCTCTGGATGCTCTCGAGCATCTCAAGGTCCTTCCCAAACTNTCTGTCAGCTCCTGGAGAAAGAGCCCAGCCCAGCTGGGCACAGGCACCTTTCAGGAGCTGCAGAGAGCGCTGAGGTCACCCTGAGTCTCCTTTTCCATGATGATTCTATGGTTCTGTGACCTCCACATCCCAACCACCTCCATGCTCTGGGTGCAAGCTCTTTCACCAAACATCCCACCTCCCCCTTGGTAACTCTCCCGTGTTCCTCAGCTTCCCTGGGGGCACCACCCCTCTCTCAGCCCAGACACACAAGCACTGACGCAGCAGCAACCCCACCTTGTAATATTTAAAACAATTTTATTCATGAAAATATGCTGTACAATGCACTATACACAGTTCTTTACATTGCCACATACACAAACTCTAATAGCACAACCAAGAAAGTTACCATTGCCTACGATAGATGCGTGTGAGAGATGAGACCCTCCCCCCCAGTCTGTACAGTTATAAATACGAGGGAAACAGACCCAAAACCGCCGGGGGAAGCAAACCGGGGGGGCCCTGGGTGTCCCCCCACCCCGGCTCCAGGCTGGGCAGGGTGGGAGCAGGGAGGGAGCTCCAGGTCTCCAGAGGGGCACTGTGGGGTGATGGAGAGGGGAGGTTGATGCTCAGTGAGGTGGCCTCCAGAGAGGGAACCCAGAGCCTCAGCCAGTGACACAAAGCCCTGGTGTCACCTCCCCAACGGGGCACAGCCCCAACACCCCCAACCCGTCACCACCACCCTCCTGCACACCACGGCCCCACCTGCACAGCCCCAACACCCCCAGTCCATCACCACCACCCTCCTGCCCACCACGGCCCCACCTGCCCGGCGCTCTGGTGCCCTGGCAGAGCCGGCCGTGCCATGACCCTGCAGCCGCCCCGGCGCCCGTGCCCGCCCCTCGCCCCTCGCCCCGCAGGACGACTGAACACACGACGTTACCAACACGACTGCACCGCACACACGACAACCCCACGGTCACGAACCACGACACAGCTTGGCCAGGGGCCGTGCCCACGCAGCGGGGCAGGGGCGCGGGGCGGCAGGGCGGGCACAGGGGGCAAGGGGACAAGGGGACAAGGGGATGCTTCCCTCCTGCTGCTGGGGTGGCTCCCCCGCCACGGTGATGGCCGGCCAGCCTCTGTGACACCAAGGGGGGCTCGGGGACCCCCGCGTGGGACAATCCCGGCTCCGTGCCCGAGTGCTGGTGCGCTGCTGGGTCTGTGCCTGCAGGGCAGATGGCTGGGGGAGCCAGGGCTGCTTCCCTTTCTCCCATTCCTGGGGGGCAGAGCCCCCGTTTGCTCTCCTCCTGCCTCTGGGTCCCTCACACCCACGTGCTGAACTGGGGGGTCGGGGATTAAATAGCCATTTGCAGTCGGTTTCCAAGGGTTTGAAAGATGCCTGAAACGAGAGGTGGTGTATAAAAGGAATGCGGTAATGATCCTGACCAAAGAATAATCCTTTTTAAAAAAGCATTCAAGAAAGATTATATATAATAGAATATATTAAATTCTGTACATGATCAAATAATGTAAACATAATTAATTAACTTGTAAGAATGTCTTTAGAGACCGTGCCTGCCATGCGCCCCGGGTGAAGGTGAGCACATGGGGCTCCTCTGTCACGCTCTGCCACAGCTGTGTGGGTCAGGAGAGGAGCAGGAGGTGCCACCCACGGGTCCCCCTGCCCTGACCTGGGGCTGCCAGGCTGTCCCTGTGGCTGCCTGGGACCCAGCGCCTGCTCCTGGCATAGGAGCTGGTGCTGGGGCAGGAAGGGAAGAGCTGGGCTGGGAAAATGTGCTGGTTCAGTGCACTGACCCCGCTGCAAGCCAGGGGCTGGGGGTCACACAGAGCCTGTGGTGCCCAGGAGGAAGAACGGCTGAGCAGAGACCCCACAGGACAGAGCAGCAGCTCCCACCGCCTCCTCCCAGCCCCTCCATCATCTCCAGACCACTGGCTCCTGCTGAACCCCTCAAACCCTGCTGCTCCTGGCAGCTGTGCAGAATGGCCGGGGCATCCCTGGCCCTCTCCTGCCCCACAGAGCACTAACACACAGCAGGACCACGCGTGAGTCGTGGTCCTCACCCCCATGAACCCCAGCCCCTGGCAGGCGGGTGCACCCCTCTTGCTGACAGCTCCTGGATCAGCTCTCCTGACACCCCAGGGGTGGGCAGTGAGACACAGGGACAGGCATGGTGGCACTGACCCCCCAAGAGTCCCACAGACCTGGCTGGGGCCCCTGTGGCACCTCCCTGAGCAATGCGGGTCACCCAAGCTTGGAGCAGGATGGAGCCCACGCTGCGTCCAGAGGCCTGGCCACCACACAGCCCCTCCTCGAGGATGGCCCACATCACAGCCCCCCAGCTTTCACCCCAACATCCAACACCCCCATGGCCAAGCCAGGATGAGCCATGTGATGGGACACAGCCACCAGCGCTGCCCATGGCCTCTCTCTCCTCTCCCTAAGCTCGACCCTTTCTTCCTTCCAACGCAAAAACTCAATGGCAAAAGAGTGCATGAAATCAAATAAATACGCCCCCCTCCCCGCCCCTGCGAGCTGCCCCCCAGCCTCCAGCTCAGGGGACCCCCACTCCCAGCAGGACCCCCTGGATCATGCCCAGCCTGCTCCGGGCAGGGGCTGCAGCCTTCCCCAGCACCCCCAGGCCCCGGGGCTGCTGAGATGCTGCTCCCAGCATCACCATCACCACCCCCTTCTCCCTGCTCGGTAAGGAAACCTGCCTGGAGCCACACGAGGACACTGGGGGTGTGGGCTCAGCAGAGCTCCCATCTCCACCAGGACTGAGGGGTCAATAGCCCCCCCTTGCCCTAGGGCAGGGCCCCCACTGCTGACAGCTCTACCCAGAGGACTCATTTCCCAAGGGGGCTCAGAGAAGAGTTCTTTCCCAGGGGGGATGCCCATGCTGGAGGGGTCCCACACCACCAGCCATCACCACTCTGTCCCCCAGCCCAAGGGCAAATCAAACTGGCACCATTACCAGGGGCACTGGGACCGTCTGGAAAGGCTTTCCCTTCCTGCTACCCCCTGGATCTGCCTGGCTCCGGCCCTGTGTCCCCCAGAGGATGCTGGCAGGACCTGCAGACCGGGCACACGTGGGGCTGGGGGTCCTCCCCCATCTCAACATTTGACCCTCCGGCTCGTGTTTCATGTTCGACCTTAAGCTCAGACTGATGGCTCTGGCCTATCTTAACAAACAAAGGCAGAAGAGAAAGGAAAAAAAAAAGTTAGTCTCAGTGTTCCCTTCGTGGCTTCCCGGTGGCGAGCCCGCGCCGGGGCAGGCGTCACCCGGGCACCCAGCTCTGGTTCGTGGGCTGCGGCCCCCCGGGCAGCGCGGGCACGTTGAGCCCGTTCTGCGGCGGGAGGGCCGAGTCGAAGTTGAAGTCCATCTCGTCGCTGTCCATAAAGTCATTCAGGATGATGGACTCCACGTCGCACTCCAGGCTCCCGTTGAACATGTCCAGGTCCAGGTCTGCTGGGAACCTGTCTTGGCCCAACACGGGGGGGTGGACGGCCCCCGGGTAGGGGCCCTGCAGCGAATCCAGCAAGCTCATGTGTGCCCCTTGGTTATTGGCGTAGGAATGCAGGTGCCCGTGGTGCGGCACGGCCGTCATGCTGCACGAGTCACTGGGCAGGCTCATAAGGCTGACAGGATTGGCTAAGGCACTGGTGTTGACCGCAGGGTGGTGGCCGGCTGGTGACGGGTGGTACAACGCGTTGCTCTTCATGAGAGAGCCCGGGTGGGGCGGGTAGGAGGACAGGCCCTGCTCCCCGGCCCCGCACAGCAGCGGGTTGTGTCTGTGGCCACGGGCCGGCACCACGGGGCCGGCCGGCGGCAGGGGCAGGTCCCCCGGGACCATGCTCTCCTTGTGCGCGTAGGAGATGGAGGAGAGCAGGTCCTGCAGCGAGGCGTTCCTGTAGGAGCTGACGGGCGAGAAGGTGGCCTGCTTGTTCTCCTGGATGGTCTGCATGGGCAGGCGGCGCATGAGGCCCATGGCCGGCTGGCTGTAGATGGTCCCACAGTAGGTGTTGGAGGCGGCCCCCATGCTGGAGCACTTGGAGTTGAAGGTGAAACTGGAGCTGCGCTGCCGCAGGGCGGCCGGGGGGAGCTGCTGGGAGGGGCTCATGCTGTAGCCGTCCTGCAGGTCCTCCAGCATGCTCTCCCCCAGGCTCTCGTTCAGGCTGATGGTGCCGGTCAGGTCGGTCAGCCGGGGCAGCTCCACGGAGCAGCGGGCGCTGAGGGACGGAGACATGGTGCTGGAAGGGCTGGGGTACATCAGCGGGGACGAGGGGGTACCGTCGTCCTCCTCCAGCTCGTCCGGCTCGTGGTTGGCCATGATGGGCGAGAGGCGCCCGCTCAGCGTGCTGGCCGTGGAGTTGGCCCGCGTCCGGAAGTCCGCCCAGGCGTCGTACTCGTCGCTGGCGTGGGACGTGGGGCTCTCCGACCACTTGGCTTGCTGGGAGGACGGGCTGTCCTCGCCGCGCTCCTGCGTCACCTGCAGCTGCTTCTTCTTGCTGGCCTTGCCCTTGATGCGCAGGAACTTGCTGTTGTTGTCCATGGACACGGCGCGCCGCCGCGGCGTCTTGCCCGTCTTGCCGCCCTCGGGGTTCAGCATCCACCAGGAGCTCTTGCCGGTGCCCTCGTTCTGCACGCGGATGAAGCGGGTGTGCAGGGACAGGTTGTGCCGGATGGAGTTCTGCGGGGACAGCAAGGACAGCGGGAGGGTCAGCAAGGACAGCACCGCCCAAGGAAAGGGACGCCCACGGGGCTGGGGGTACGTGGGGCACCGTGGGACAGCTGGGCTCCATCCCCCGGGTGTCTGAGCCGAGGGTTGGGGCTGGCAGAGCTCGGCTCCCACACGCCGTGGGTCACAGCCCTGTCTTTGGCACAATTCCTGTCACGGCAGGGACGGGGAGCCTCTTAGCACACGTCCCAGGGACCCTCGGCAGCCAGGGCCAGCTCTCAGAGAACCTTCCTTCCCTGGCAGGAGGGACAGGGTGGAGAGGCAACAAAGGCAGTGGCAGAGTCAGGAGCACACACAGGCCCAAGGCTCCTCCATCCATCCCTCCAGCCCAGCCCATCCCACAGGTTGCTCCCAGCACAGCCAGCACCTCTGTGGAGATCCCAGCCCACTCCCCACCAGCTCCACAGGCAGCGGGGATCCCTTTGGAGGGATTCCAAGCCCTTTCCCCTGCCTGGCATCATTTGGGGTGTTCTCCTGTCCACCCTCAGCACCAAAAAGTGCCCTGTGCAGGGCACATCAGCAACAGCACAGCCCAAAACCTGCTGGCACCATGTCACACCTTGTCCCCAAATGCCTGCCAGACCAGCAGGGCAAGGGAGGGGATTCTTCCCCTTGGCTCTTGTGAGACCCCCATCCGCAGAGTTGCCTCCAGCCCTGTGATCCCCAGCACAGCAAGGACATGGACCTGTTAAAGCTGGCCCAGAGCAGCCCCTGGAGCTGCTGCAGGGCTGGAGCCCCTCTGGAGCCAGGCTGGAGAGCTGGGGGTGCTCCCTGGAGAGGAGAAGCTCCAGGGAGAGCTCAGAGCCCCTGCAGGGCCTGGAGGGGCTCCAGGAGAGCTGGAGAGGGACTGGGGACAAGGATGGAGGGACAGGACCCAGGGAATGGCTCCCACTGCCAGAGGGCAGGGCTGGATGGGAGATTGGGAATTGGGAATTGTTCCCTGGCAGGGTGGGCAGGGGCTGGGCTGGAATTCCCAGAGCAGCTGTGACTGCCCCTGGATCCCTGGCAGTGCCCAAGGCCAGGCTGGACACTGGGAGCTCCTGGGAACAGTGGGAGAGGTCCCTGCCATGGCAGGGGTGGGGTGGGATGACCTTTGAGGTCCCTCCCAAGCCAAACAAGAGCAGTATTCCCTGACACCTGCCTCTCCCTGCTGACACACAGCTCAAGGGATGCCACCCCAGCTCCCTGTGCCTCAGTTTCCCCAGAGGAAAAAGGCAAGATGCAGAAGCCAGGGAAGGGCCTCAGTCTGCAGCACAGAGACCCTTCCCCAGCTCTGCCCCAAGGCTCGGGGCTGCCCAGGGGCTGCTGGAGAGGGGAGGCACCTCCCCAGCCCCTTCCCAGCTGCAGGAGGGGCAGAAGGACGAGGAGGGGGAGGAACCCACAGCAGAGGGGAGAAAGTTTGGTGCTGTTGTGGTGTACAGTGGAATACTAATGAAGAGGCAAGTGAGCTCCAGCCTCATCTATCATATTATGTAATGGCTTACTTCTCTGCACTTCATTTATTTGGAGATTGCTCCCAGGCTGGCTCCTCGCCAGCAGCCACCAAATCCAAGTCTACAGAAATCAATCTCGCACTGACTGATTAAGCCGTGTTTAGAACTAATTGCTCCTTCGTGTGTGGGGAGAATAAATTACGGGCTTTAATTTCACATCTTTAAAATGCAACTGCAGGTATGGGCCAGCCATTAACCCCTTCCTGCACGGCTGGGGAGGGGGCCCAGGGGCTGGTTGGGACACAGCTGCCCAACCCATGCTCGCCACCTTCAAGCAGAGCAAGTCAAAGCCTGGCAACCTTCCTGGCAGGGAGAGCCCCCCTGACCCTCCCAGCACCTCTCCTCAAGCCACAGGATGATCCAAACTCCCTTCCAGGACCCAGCCACCCGTCAAGCAGCAGGGCCAGAAGCACAGCACGCGGCTGTCACTGCCCTGGCACGGCCAGAGCCTCCAGCCAGCTCAGCCCCCGGGCACTGCCCTGCACCCACAGACAGCAGGGAGCTGGGGATGCCAAAGCTGGGCTTCTGGAGTGATGCCCAGTCAGTGCTGGGCCCCTGGCAGGAGTGGGGACCCTGCCACAGCCGCAGTCCCTCCCTGCCAGCACTGCCAGGTCTGCCCAGCACCCTGAGCAGGAGATGCTGCAGCCTGTGCAGCAGGGCTGGAGCTGCCATGCGGAGCACGGGGAGAGGGGACGGGCTTTGGGCATGTCACAGCTGGACAGGGATGACATTCAGCGTGCCCCCTCCCAGCCCAGAGGGAGCACAGGGCACGCTGCACCCCCCGAGGCTGCGGGCAGGGCTGGCAGGGTCAGGCTGCCCGAGGGAGAGGAGGCGAGGACAGGCTGCCGCTTCTCCTGCAGCCCAGCTTCATTAGGAGCCAGAAGACAGCAGCAATTAAGTGCAAGGTGCAGCACACCCGGCTCTCTCCTCATTAGCACCCCGACACGCTCGGCTGCCCGCGGCTCGGGGCGCACGGAGCGGGGCGGGGGCTGCGCTGGGGCGGGCCGGGAGCTGATCAACAGCGGGCAGGGCACCCAGCGTCCCGCAGCCCCCGGGCAGCGTGCCCCTGATGCACAGGGGACAGCAGCTGCCTTGGCAAGGGGTGCCCTGGGCTCAGGAAAGGATGGTGCCACCCCAGGGACACCATTCCCTGCCCTGCACCACTGCGGGTCTGGCCGTGCCCTGTGCCCGCGCCGTGCCTCCCTGCCCATCTCTCCTGTGCCCCTGTCCCCCTGTCCCCCCTGTCTGTCCCCCTGTCCCACCTGTCTGTCCCCCTGTCCCACCTGTCTGTTCCCCTGTCTGTCCCCCTGTCTGTCCCCCCTGTCCCCCCTGTCTGTCCCCCCTGTCCCCCCTGTCTGTCCAGCCCGCTCCATGGCTCAGCCCCACTCTGCACACCCGGCCCCACACGGCCCCGCAGCCCCCAGTGCCCAAACCCCAAAAACAGCACCAGGCAGAGGCACCGGGTCCCGGTTCACAGCCAGCCCGTGCTAGGGATGACATCCAGCCCGTGTTGGGGGTGACATCCAGCCCGTGCTAGGGGTGATATCCAGCCCGTGTTAGGGGTGACATCCAGCCCGTGTTGGGGGTGACATCCAGCCCGTGTTGGGGGTGACATCCAGCCTGTGCTGGGGGTGACGTCCAGCCCGAGCCGGGGGTGACATCCAGCCTGTGTTAGGGGTGACATCCAGCCCGTGCCGGGGGTGACATCCAGCCCGTGTTGGGGGTGACATCCAGCCCGTGCCGGGGTGACATCCAGCCCGTGCCGGGGTGACACCCGCACGCCAAGCCCCGCACGCCCCCGCAGCCCTGCCGAGGGGACAGGGATGCTCTGGGGACACAAGGGCAGGCTGGAGGTGGCACCAGGGCTGCAGGCGCACCGCAGCCCCTGCTCAGCCCTGGCTGGCACCAGGGCAGGGCGAGGCTGAGCCCGTGCCAGCCAGCAGCTGCCGGAGGCTTTGCCAAGCTGCAGGACCCCAGTGCCATGCCGGTGCCCGTCTGCCGGGGGCTGGTCCTGCTGCGGGGCCTGGGGGGGGGCTGTGGGCACCCACAGAGCCCCTCACCCCCCCAGGAACCCTCCTCCGGCGAGCCTCATTGTCAGGGGAACAGGCAGTGTGAAATCGGTCTGATTAGCAATTAGTGCCATTGTAAAAGGATTAGCCGGACCCATTGTTCGGGAGAGTGACTTGACTGTCAATGGGCAGCTGGCAGCGATGGTGACGATGATGATGAGGATGGTGCGGCCGGAAGCCATTCGCAGAGGCCGGACTCCCGAAATGAGCATCGACCCCCGAGATGAGCCTCGGACCCCGAAATGAGCCCCCAGTTCGGGCAGCGCTGCCCAGCCCAGCCGCAGGTGCCAGGCTGCCAGCCCCGCCTCGGGGTACCCACGAGTGTCGGGGTGCAGGAGTGGGGCTGAGCTCCCCTCCGCGTGCCCCGGGGAGAGCAGGGTGCGGGGACACGAGTGCAAGAGCAAGAGCAGGTCCAGGCAGGGTGGGGAGAGCAAACGAGGCGCTCACATCGCTGCCACGTCCCCGCACCCCTCTGCTGTCCCCAGCGCTGCTGCCACCCCTCGCTGCTGGCTGCCCAGCACCGAGCCAGCCCCAGCTGCTCCCCACAGCTGCCAGCCTGGCAGTCTGGCTGGCTGTCTGTCTGTCTGTCTGTCCACAGCCAGCCAAGGAGCCCGTTACCTGCTGCGGGTTCAGCACGGCTGACAGGAGGAAGCAGGGACAGGGACAGGGACAGGGACAGGGACAGGGACAGGGACAGGGACAGGGACAGGGACAGGGTCACTAACAAGAGTTCTGCCAGCAGCACAAAAACGGCTCCAGGGGTTCATTGATCCTTATTCACCTCTTGCACATCAAAATTGCCACTGCTGGAGGAAATATTCCAGAGGGCAGAGTCTGCCAACAGCCTCAACAGAGCTTCATCCCTGGGGGTGATGGGCAGAGAGGGTGGTGGCATGGGACACTCAGTGGTGACACCGCCAAAAACATCATTTTCACCCCAAAAAATAGCTCAGCCATCCCCTGGCAGCATCCCCTGGGCATGGGCAGCCCTGATCCCTGAACTGGTGTCACCATCCTGCAGTGGCACACGTGGCAGTGCCACCCGCACGTGGGGATGGCAGCGCCCGGCACGGACAGCAGGGAACTCTGCGCTGTGCCACGGGCAGGCAGCTGCAGAGACCCTGTGCCTGCAGGGGCATCGGCCTGCCCCACATCGGCCCGCCCCACATCAGCCTGACCCACATCATCCCGCCCCACATCATCCTGCCCCACATCAGCCTGCCCCCACAGCATCAGCCCACCCCAAATCAGCTCACCCTATATCAGCCCACCCCACATCAACCCGCCCCACACCATCCTGACCCACATCAACCCACACCATATCATCAGCCCACCTCACATCATCAGCCCACCCCAAATCAGCCCCACACCAGCCCCACACCATTCTGAC